ATAAAATATATATAAACCAATTTTATTTACCTCACGCAACTTATATTCTTAGCTCTTTCGGTAAAGTCACCACGTTGAAGGGAAACAATAAAATAATAAAAAATATATAAAACAATTTTATTTACCTCACGCAACTTTTATTCTTAGCTCTTTCGGTAAAGTCACCACGTTGAAGGGAAACAATAAAATAATAAAATATATATAAAACAATTTTATTTACCTCACGCAACTTATATTCTTAGCTCTTTCGGTAAAGTCACCACGTTGAAGGGAAACAATAAAATAATAAAATATATATAACAATTTTATTTACCTCACGCAACTTATATACTTAGCTCCTTCGGTAAAGTCACGTTGAAGGGAAACAATAAAATAATAAAATATAAAACAATTTTATTTACCTCACGCAACTTATATTCTTAGCTCTTTCGGTAAAGTCACGTTGAAGGGAAACAATAAAATAATAAAATATATAAAACAATTTTATTTACCTCACGCAACTTTTATTCTTAGCTCTTTCGGTAAAGTCACGTTGAAGGGAAACAATAAAATAATAAAATACATATAAAACAATTTTATTTACCTCACGCAACTTTTATTCTTAGCTCTTTCGGTAAAGTCACCACGTTGAAGGGAAACAATAAAATAATAAAATATATATAAAACAATTTTATTTACCTCACGCAACTTTTATTCTTAGCTCTTTCGGTAAAGTCACGTTGAAGGGAAACATTAACATAATAAAATATATATAAACCAATTTTATTTACCTCACGCAACTTATATTCTTAGCTCTTTCGGTAAAGTCACCACGTTGAAGGGAAACAATAAAATAATAAAAAATATATAAAACAATTTTATTTACCTCACGCAACTTTTATTCTTAGCTCTTTCGGTAAAGTCACCACGTTGAAGGGAAACAATAAAATAATAAAATATATATAAAACAATTTTATTTACCTCACGCAACTTATATTCTTAGCTCTTTCGGTAAAGTCACCACGTTGAAGGGAAACAATAAAATAATAAAATATATATAACAATTTTATTTACCTCACGCAACTTATATTCTTAGCTCTTTCGGTAAAGTCACCACGTTGAAGGGAAACAATAAAATAATACAATATAAAACAATTTTATTTACCTCACGCAACTTTTATTCTTAGCTCTTTCGGTAAAGTCACGTTGAAGGGAAACAATAAAATAATAATATATATAAAACAATTTTATTTACCTCACGCAACTTTTATTCTTAGCTCTTTCGGTAAAGTCACCACGTTGAAGGGAAACAATAAAATAATAAAATATATATAAAACAATTTTATTTACCTCACGCAACTTATATTCTTAGCTCTTTCGGTAAAGTCACCACGTTGAAGGGAAACAATAAAATAATAAAATATATATAACAATTTTATTTACCTCACGCAACTTATATTCTTAGCTCTTTCGGTAAAGTCACGTTGAAGGGAAACAATAAAATAATACAATATAAAACAATTTTATTTACCTCACGCAACTTTTATTCTTAGCTCTTTCGGTAAAGTCACGTTGAAGGGAAACAATAAAATAATAATATATATAAAACAATTTTATTTACCTCACGCAACTTATATTCTTAGCTCTTTCGGTAAAGTCACCACGTTGAAGGGAAACAATAAAATAATAAAATATATAAAAAACAATTTTATTTACCTCACGCAACTTTTATTCTTAGCTCTTTCGGTAAAGTCACCACGTAGAAGGGAAACAATAACATAATAAAATATATATAAAACAATACAAATTCTCACGACGTTTCGACCATAACACAAACGGTCATCATCAGGTGTGTCGGTTTGCATTAATTTATTTATTTAAAAAACGGTGTGTTTATTTATTTATAAAAACCGTCAGCTCCACGCGCAGCGATTTGACAGTTTGTTTAGAAGGACGAGTCCATCTATGTTCTGAAAGGAGGGGGGAGACGAAAAATTAATGTATGCTGTATGAAAGCCACCGTAAGCGTGAACAATCAATTAAGACCTGAAATGGTTTATCAAATCTTTCCAATGATTGCTAAGCCAGAATCCATCTTCTCGGTTGAAATTGTCTCTGTGCTTGTATATGTGGATAGCCTCATGAACGAATCTCTCATGGTAACCGTAAGCGTGAACAATCAATGAAGACCCCGAAATGGTTTATCAGATCCTTCCAATGATTGCTAAGCCAGAATCCATCTGCTCCGTTGAAATTGTCTCTATGCTTGTATATGGTGGATAGCCTCATGGACAAATCTCTCATGGTAACCGTAAGCGTGAACAATCAGTGAAGACCCCAAATGGTTTATCAAATCCTTCCAATGATTGCTCAGCCAGAATCCATCTTCTCCGTTGAAATTGTCTCTGTGTTTGTATATGTGGATAGCCTCATGAACGAATCTCTCATGGTAACCGTAAGCGTGAACAATCAATGAAGACCCCAAATGGTTTATCAAATCCTTCCAATGATTGCTAAGCCAGAATCCATCTTCTCGGTTGAAATTGTCTCTGTGCTTGTATATGGTGGATAGCCTCATGGACGAATCTCTCATGGTAACCGTAAGCGTGAACAATCAATGAAGACCCCAAATGGTTTATCAAATCCTTCCAATGATTGCTAAGCCAGAATCCATCTTCTCGGTTGAAATTGTCTCTGTGCTTGTATATGTGGATAGCCTCATGAACGAATCTCTCATGGTAACCGTAAGCGTGAACAATCAATGAAGACCCCGAAATGGTTTATCAAATCCTTCCAATGATTGCTAAGCCAGAATCCATCTGCTCAGTTGAAATTGTCTCTATGCTTGTATATGGTGGATAGCCTCATGGACGAATCTCTAATGGTAACCGTAAGCGTGAACAATCAGTGAAGACCCCAAATGGTTTATCAAATCCTTCCAATGATTGCTCAGCCAGAATCCATCTTCTCCGTTGAAATTGTCTCTGTGTTTGTATATGTGGATAGCCTCATGAACGAATCTCTCATGGTAACCGTAAGCGTGAACAATCAATGAAGACCCCAAATGGTTTATCAAATCCTTCCAATAATTGCTAAGCCAGAATCCATCTTCTCGGTTGAAATTGTCTCTGTGCTTGTATATGGTGGATAGCCTCATGGACGAATCTCTCATGGTAACCGTAAGCGTGAACAATCAGTGAAGACCCCAAATGGTTGATCAAATCCTTCCAATGATTGCTCAGCCAGAATCCATCTTCTCCGTTGAAATTGTCTCTGTGTTTGTATATGTGGATAGCCTCATGAACGAATCTCTCATGGTAACCGTAAGCGTGAACAATCAATGAAGACCCCAAATGGTTTATCAAATCCTTCCAATGATTGCTAAGCCAGAATCCATCTTCTCGGTTGAAATTGTCTCTGTGCTTGTATATGTGGATAGCCTCATGAACGAATCTCTCATGGTAACCGTAAGCGTGAACAATCAATGAAGACCCCAAATGGTTTATCAAATCCTTCCAATGATTGCTAAGCCAGAATCCATCTTCTCGGTTGAAATTGTCTCTGTGCTTGTATATGGTGGATAGCCTCATGGACGAATCTCTCATGGTAACCGTAAGCGTGAACAATCAATGAAGACCCCAAATGGTTTATCAAATCCTTCCAATGATTGCTAAGCCAGAATCCATCTTCTCGGTTGAAATTGTCTCTGTGCTTGTATATGTGGATAGCCTCATGAACGAATCTCTCATGGTAACCGTAAGCGTGAACAATCAATGAAGACCCCGAAATGGTTTATCAAATCCTTCCAATGATTGCTAAGCCAGAATCCATCTGCTCAGTTGAAATTGTCTCTATGCTTGTATATGGTGGATAGCCTCATGGACGAATCTCTAATGGTAACCGTAAGCGTGAACAATCAGTGAAGACCCCAAATGGTTTATCAAATCCTTCCAATGATTGCTCAGCCAGAATCCATCTTCTCCGTTGAAATTGTCTCTGTGTTTGTATATGTGGATAGCCTCATGAACGAATCTCTCATGGTAACCGTAAGCGTGAACAATCAATGAAGACCCCAAATGGTTTATCAAATCCTTCCAATAATTGCTAAGCCAGAATCCATCTTCTCGGTTGAAATTGTCTCTGTGCTTGTATATGGTGGATAGCCTCATGGACGAATCTCTCATGGTAACCGTAAGCGTGAACAATCAGTGAAGACCCCAAATGGTTTATCAAATCCTTCCAATGATTGCTCAGCCAGAATCCATCTTCTCCGTTGAAATTGTCTCTGTGTTTGTATATGTGGATAGCCTCATGAACGAATCTCTCATGGTAACCGTAAGCGTGAACAATCAATGAAGACCCCAAATGGTTTATCAAATCCTTCCAATGATTGCTAAGCCAGAATCCATCTTCTCAGTTGAAATTGTCTCTGTGCTTGTATATGGTGGATAGCCTCATGAACGAATCTCTCATGGTAACCGTAAGCGTGAACAATCAATGAAGACCCCAAATGGTTTATCAAATCCTTCCAATGATTGCTAAGCCAGAATCCATCTTCTCGGTTGAAATTGTCTCTGTGTTTGTATATGGTGGATAGCCTCATGGACGAATCTCTCATGGTAACCGTAAGCGTGAGCGATCAATGAAGACCCCGAAATAGTTCATCAAATCCTTCCAATGATTGCTAAGCCAGAATCCATCTTCTCGGTTCAAATTGTCTCTGTGCTTGTATATGGTGGATAGCCTCATGAACGAATCTCTCATGGTAACCATAAGCGTGAACAATCAATGAAGACCCCAAATGGTTTATCAAATCCTTCCAATGATTGCTAAGCCAGAATCCATCTTCTCGGTTGAAATTGTCTCTGTGCTTGTATATGGTGGATAGCCTCATGAACGAATCTCTCATGGTAGCCAGATGGCTTACAACGAACCTCTGTCTTGGAAAATGATGATGATGATGCCTATATTTATGATGAATCTCTCTCTCTCTCTCCTCTCTCTCTCTCTCCCATGTGAAG